TGGTGCTGCAATCTTACAAAGGCAGGGTCGCTTTAAGACAGTATACAATTTCCTCATGCTCAATTCTGAACGTAATTTTTGTATGGACTTTTTGTAACCTGCATGTCTTTTAACAGCATAGAAGAAACACATCTCTCTAGTAGTTTTAACAACGTATAAAAACAAGAAAAACCTTTATGTGCACTTTCCCAATAGGATGTAACCACTGGCAATGCATAGCTGCACATACAACTTTCTAAATGCCAGAAATGTATTTTTACAGGCCGAAGTCCAACCAAATTTATACCATAGGCCTATATTTGATTAAGGCTACATGTGCTTTCCATAACAAATACATTCTTGTTCTCACATAGGGGGAAAACATACTTTTTCATTTTTTAATGTTTTCTTTTAGTAGTAAAAAAAAAAAAAAAAAAAGAATGCTCTCTCTGCCAGGGGAAAAATGTTTTTTAAATGCAATGACACCGCAAATGAAAGTAAATTATAGAAATCATTAAATCAGGAGCGTTTCTAACCACTTAGAAAGGAAGGCAGCAAGCAAACTAATGGTATATTTAAACCACGGTGCTGAATTGCACCTTGGATAAATCAAGAGCTTGCGAGATATTCCAGAGAAACAGGCGTTTAAAATTAATTTGGGTTCCCTGGGGTTGATTCTTTTGTGCCTTCTCATTTCTGAGGCTGACCCTGGTCACAGGATGTGGATGTTTAATCTCAGGCTCATAATTTACACACAGAGGAAACACGGACTGGCAAAAAATTCTGCTTTCCGAACACATCAACTAATGTAGGTAGAAAGTCCTTGACTTATGACCAAAATTGGGATCAGAATTCCCATTGCTAAGTAAGGCCATTGTTGAGTAGTCATGCCCAATTTTTATGACTGTTTTTGACACTGTTGTTAAATGAATCACTGCAGTTAAAACAAGGGTGTCAAACTCGATTTCACTGAGAGCCACATCAGGGTTGTGGTTGACCTTGGTGGCCCGGGTGGTCGCAGCCAAATAGGTGGCCGTAGCCAGGGTGGGCGTGACCAGCTCCATGTCGCTCATGTTGGCGCCTGTGGTGGCCCGGGCGGGGCTGGGGGTTCCACTGTCTCCAGCATGTGCCCAGGTGACACGGCGGGGGTGACCCTTTGCTGCCTCAAGGAGGGCCCCACGGATCTAAGGCTGACCACATTCTGGCCCAGATGGCTGCCACCAAGTTGTAATCAGCACCGGCTGGCCTGAGGCCAAGGCGCTGGTCCTCGACTGTTTCCAGAGCAGCGCCCCGGGCCAGATCTAACCACATTGCAGGCCAGATCCAGCCCATGGGCCTTGAGTTTGGCACCCCTGAGTTAAGGGAATCATGTGGTTGTTAAGGCAATCCGACTTCGCCCATTGACTTTGTCTGTTGGAAGCAGGTTGGGAAGGTTGCAAATGGTGATCACGTGACTTTGGCACGTGGCAACTCTCAAAAATACATGCTGGTTGCCAAGTGCCCAGTTTTTGTTCACATGACCAAGCGGCATTCTGTGACAATTTTAAGTGCAAGAACCAGTCGCAAGTCACATTTTTTTTCCTTTTTAAATGGTCATTAAATGAATGGTTGTAAGTTCAGGACTACCTGTATCCTTTCCAGCACATCAGCACTTTTAAGTAACTTCATAAACAACATAGTCTTAGATATTAAAGGTAAAGGTTCCCCTCGCACATATGTGCTAGTTCCCGACTCTAGGGGGCGGTGCTCATCTCCATTTCAAAGGCAAAGAGCCAGCGCTGTCCAAAAATGTCTTCATGGTCATGTGGCCGGCATGACTAAACGCCAAATGCGCATGGAACACTGTTACCTTCCCACCAAAGGTGGTCCCTCTTTTTCTACTTGCATTTTTTACATGCTTTCGAATTGTTAGGTTGGCAGAAACTGGGACAAGTAACGGGAGCTCACCCCGTTACGCGGCACTAGGGATTCAAACCGCTGAACTGCCGACCTTTCAATCAACAACCTCAGCGTCTTAGCCATTGAGCCACTGTGTCCCTTAGTGTTAATCTTAGATATTAACACATAGCTAATAGCAAAATTACAATATAAGGCTCCAGGTCAAGAGTTGTTTAGTGGTCTTTGGCTAGCCATATTTAAAAGTAACAGTAGTCCTCAACTTACGACCAGAATTGAGCCCAACATTTATGTTGTTAAGTGAGAACTTTGTTAAGTGAGTTTTGCCTCATATATGACTTTTCTCGCCACATTTTTAAGTGAATCACTGCAGTTCTAGCCCAGCTATTCAAGAGGAAGATAATAAAGTAATAGTAAATGTAAACAATAATGATTTTATGCTAAACTATCAGAAGTTCTAGAGGAATTTTCAAAATGAAGGTCAACCCTGGTATAGGACACTTCTCTCTGCCTATTAAAAACAGAAAATGTATTTACCTGAAATGCCTTATAAAAATATAATTCATATTTTTTCCCCAAGTATAGCTCATGATAAACTTCTCAGTTTATCATGAGCTAAACTGATCAAGGAGATAAACTGCTCCTTGATCAGTTAAACTTTATTTTTCCTATGTAACTCTGCATGTTGCTAAAAATCACAGGTAATAGTGCTCAAATGATATTTTAAATGAAGGTGTTCATAATGCATCTGTTTCTGATTTTATTAAAAGCCTAAATCTTTCTGGAATAGGCTGAAAGAGAAAGAATGGATGTGAAATATATCTTACAAATATAAGATCTCCACATAACATAGATAGATAGATAGATAGATAGAGAGAGAGATAGATGGATGGATGGATGGATGGATGGATGGATGGATGGATGGATGCTAAATAGATAGAAGATAGAGATAGATAGATGATAGATAGATAGATAGATAGATAGATAGATAGATAGATAGATAGATATTATGTGGAGAGCCTATATTTGCCAACCAAAATGATATTAAGAAGGAAACATCTGCCTTGAAAAACATCAAAAGGAAAAATATTTAAGCAAATTACTCTATTTTCTTCTCAGAAATATAGATTTAAATGGAGATCTTTGCCAAGATACTGAATTTGAGGATCTGGTGCAGCTTAAACTGATTCTTACTAAAAGCAACTTCCTTCCCCATCACCCATAATTTTGCACCTGAAAAGAAATTCATATTGCCCCTTGTGATATATTTGATACCCGTAATGGGTGATTTAGTCCAGATGCAACCTGCCCTGAGACTATTTTGGAATTAAAGAAAATCATGGGAGAAATAAATTGTGATCCTAGTGTAAAAGCATCTATGATATAACTTTGCAATATGTGTCAAGAGAATGCTTGAACCAAAGATTCCCGAACAAACTGTGGGGAATGACTGTATCACATGGAAATACTGTTCATTTATCAAAAATCATATTACTGTACACAAAAAAGCTAGGAAAAGTTGCAGCAGCTCGCCACACATTTTTCTACTTAAGGATTTCAGTTCCTTTTGAAACACTAAATACATATGATATCCATATTATAGAGGTGAGGTCCCTTCTCAGTTACCTCTGAGTTTTGGGGGAGGGAAACTAAGAATCCCTAAGCAATTCCTAACAATATCAGTGAATAGCAATCCTTGGGATTTATTAAAGGGAAACCATGATAGTGAACTTAAATGAATTAGGGTTATAATGGATAAATACCTTGACCTATTGTACCCATTGCTCATATGTACAGCATCACCTATTGCCATCTAGAATTCTCTGGAGGCTAGGAAGGATCAAAATATTTTAAATATATAATCAATTTGGATGAGATCAGAGCTGCATCCAAATGGCGGAGTATAAATAACATGCTATTAAACTGTCTCTTTCTTAGTGGAATCTCTGCAGTAAGAAAAAAAGATGCAAACAACTTCAGAAAACACTGTACAATTATAAATGGAAGATAGGTTTGTTCAAAACCCCTCTAAAATTTTTAGAATAAGGAGGGACAAAGACATAGTAGAAAACTAATCATGAAATCAAAAACCCACTTATATGTATGTTAAATCTAATGCAAACATTGGATTAAGAGATCTAATCTAATCGGGAATTGACAAATTCATTCCATTCTTGTTGCTCTAAAACCTGACATTACCTGAATAATTTTTAAAGGTTTTCTGAGTGTCATGCAGACTGTGACCTTAATCTAGAGTTAGAAAGGTCAGAAAAGTTGTTCTAGAGTAATCTAATTCTTTGCTAATAATTTTAACACTTGTGTTAGTTGTAAAACATTCACTTTTAGAATGCAACCATCTATCTTTCATTTCTGCATAGAGTAGTATGAACCACTTTAATGAACATTCCTGGACTGTAGAGCAAACACTCTCTACACAACCTACATCTAAATAAAATGGTATGTTTCTAGAATAATAGAACTGGATAAATTTTCCTTACATATTTCAAAAACACTTTCTTGATTTTTAAAAATACCTTTTCTATAAATTGCAAATGAGAAGTTGGACAGCTGAATTTGAAACTTTTCCATTATGTGCCAGTATTCTACTTAGTAGGTTTTAGTTTTGTATATACTTGTATAGGGCAAAATTTAAAATAATATTTTTCCTCCACTCTGAAATATAACTGTCTATTCTTCTGCCTCATTTTTACAGCAGAGTAGAACTAAACCTGTTATTTTTTTAGTTTCCCCATGACTATTCTATTCTATTCTATTCTATTCTATTCTATTCTATTCTATTCTATTCTATTCTATTCTATTCTATTCTATGTTCAACAATTGAGGGCTGGAGATTTTATAAACTGTAATCCAACATATCTGGATTCTGGAGGATCTCAAATTAGGAATGAATGTCCTAGATTTTAAGCAACTAAGAGTTTTACTCAACCAATTATCTGCCCCTGTAGAATCGTCTCTAACACATCCATTAGTATGACAGTCGAAAAAAAGTGTTTTGAAACAAAATGCCACTAGACAATGTAAAAAGAATGCATGAAAATAAAGGAAAATCAAAATTTTCTATGTATATTTGTATGTCCGTGTAGATAAAATTAGTATTTTATTACCTCTTGTTGTACTGCACAGCTTCTCCATTCTTCGCCCAGGTAATGATTGGCCTTGGATTTCCAACAGAGTCACAGTGAAGAAGTACACTTAATGTCCCGCTGGCCAGAACCACAGTGTGCCCCAAATGGGTGACAACCTCAGACGCGGATAGTTGTTGTGCTGCAGAGATCTTCTTCAAGATGGCAGGTTTCTTGTGCGGCCCACGTGAACCATTTACGAGTTCTAGAGATGTGCCCAAGTGGGCTTCGGAGGAAGATGTTCTCAATAATCTGTTAAACTCAGAAAAATGCTTAGTGAATGGAAATTCCACTGAAGCAGAACTGACTCTGCTTCCCTGGGTTTTGAAAAAAGATTCCTGATGCTCCAAATGGCTCTTGAAAATTTCATGGGCCAGCTGGGAGATAAGTTGCTTGCTATAGACATCCTTCAGTTCCTCAGGCTGTTGAGACAAATTCTTTAAGATGTCATCTAAACGATCCTGATTGGCGACCATAGTGAAAGGCAGGTTGTAGTCCTGACCCTGGTCTTCCTCTGAAGAAATATTTCTCTCTGTGGAGTCCTGGGCTTCCCATGGCTCTGCACTCACCCGAGGCCAGCCTCTGTATTCCAGAAGCCTTGAGACAATGTCATCATACTGGTGGCTAGGACCAGAGGCAAGTCCTCGTTTTTCAGTTTTGCTTCCGTTGAAGAGAATTTTATTCTGATGCTTCTCCTGGCCATGCAAAGCTTCATTCAGACTGACCTTCCTTGAGGATTCGTCTTCTTTTATCCCAGATGACAAGGTGGCAGTACATTTGTTGTGGCCTCCTATGAGTTTAATCACAAAATGCTCCTGAGCTGGTCCTGCTGTGCAAGTGTATGTGCCGGTATCTGAGGGCTTTAATCGATGGATCTTCATGTATCCATACGGCGCGACCGTAACGTGAACAGAGCTGATGAGTCGTTTGCCATCTTTCTCCCAGGTGATCATTGGTTTCCGGAATCGTCTCACAGGGCATCGAAGAATGACGGAAGTCTTGGGCAACAGGTAGGCGTATCCACCAACAACAAAATGCAACTTCTTTTGCTTTCGTGTCTGGATAAAAACTTTCTTTTGAGCCAGTATTAAAGGGGGTTGCTTGTGAGCTGGTCTCTGATATCCTGGAATGCAAGTAACATTATTAGGATGTGGTGTCACATCACATTTGCACGTTCAACCTAATAGACTAAAGGACTAAAGGATTCTTTTTTCTTTCCACTAATGCTCCTATGCCCATGTATCTGTTTCCTGCATGGACTCCATATCACTGATGGGTGATCCCATCATATAGTCTGCAATACAATGGGGAAGTTACTACAGAAAATTTAAGCCTGGGATGTCATTTGCATGAGCATCTGCAGATGGGCCATAAAATGCAGTACCTCCGTTAAGAAGGCTGCATCATTTTCTAGGCTTGTGCTGTAGCCTTCAGATTCCAAAGAAATGCATGTTTGATTTAAGGAAGCACTAGTAATGCCTACTCCAAAGCACTTTAATTATAATAGTTAAATTTAAATTTAAAACAAATATATTTTCTGTGCTGTTCTGCTTTCATCTACTTCCTTGACCTGACCTTGTCCATGTTTTGGATTGTAGCCATCTGACTGAAAGAGAGTGGGCGCCCCTGATTTAAATGAATGTATAAAACACATTACTCTGGCACTGTTCTGCTATTATTGTTAATAATTACAGTATTATGTTGTACTTCCCCAAACTATGCCCCTCCAAAAGTTTTGCCTTTAATTTCCTTAGCCCCCATGTATTTTCTTGGGCCAGGAAATTGTCCCAATCTTCCCAATTCCCCTCCAGAACTTCTTCTATACTTACTTGCACAAGTCATGAGCACACATGGTCTGACCAAGGAGGAGAGTGGCAGAGATGGGCACAGTGATGAGTTCACAATGGCAGAAAGTCCAGTATTTAGCATTTTCCTACAAATGGCATTTCGTGTCTGGGTTCCCTCTCCACAGCTAACAGAACACTGGGAACAGAACAACAGCTGCTTAGGAAAGATTAAATGTTCATTAGTTACTACCTGTTAACCTTGGAGTTAACTCTGGCTCAATCCCCAATGCTTGCGGGATAAGCCAGATCTTCATGGCCTTCTGGAACGCTAAAAGAGTAGAGACTTCCTTGGATCTCAGGTGGGAGCTGTTCAAACCAGCTGGGATGTCACCAAAAGGGTGTAGCTGTGGTGGAATGTAGTCTGGATTCCCAGGAAGGAGGGGTTGCATTCTGCCACAGGATCTCGGAGGTCCCATCAGGTTGCAAGGGAGTGGACCTGGACTGCACCCACCCTATCTAACCTAGTAGGATGGGCCAATATCTTCAGGGAGGCACAATCTGCAAGTAATGTGGTCCTGAGCTATGTAGAGCTTTAAAGGTGGTAACCAGGACCTTAACGTGGAGCCAGCATCAGGAAGTAATGCACCTCATACAGCAGTAACTTAAATAACTGTGGAGCACCCAAAACTGTGTGCACTGTTACATTCTGGATCAGTCAGAAACAGTGCAAATGTAGGAGGTTCTCCTGGACTCATATCTCCTGCTCAAGGTGGTGGCAGTGGTGGCTAGGAGGGCCTTTGCAGAACTCCAGCTTGCATACCAATTGTGCCAGCTGAAGCATCAAGAAAAAAGGTTTACATCTTAGTTACTCCAAGATGGCCTATTGCAATGGATTCTTCATGGGACTGCCCTTAAATAATGCACAGTGCAAATAGTTATAGGTCACATTGACACAGGCATGTAATACATGAAATGCATGAACTGTATAGGCCACCAGGTGCTATTCAAGGTGCTGGTTATGACTATGAAGCCCAAGATATCACAGGACTGGATTATTTGCCAGACCACTTGTGCTGTTTCATTACCAAACTAGGTAGCATCATCAGTGCACTGTAATGAAATGATGGCAAGTAAACAACCAAGCTCAGAGAGCACCAAGCGCCCCTCATTTCAGTCCTGAGCTACAAATATTCTCCTTTATTGGACTATCTGTCTATCCCACATGCTATAACATGCTCCAAGTCCCGAAGCGACATCATCTGATGGGATTTAGAATATGTGTCTTCTCAGTTGCAGCACCTGCTCTTTTGAAAGACGTCTCCCCATCTCCCTCAAATCGATTGTCCCCCAAACCTGCTAGTTTTTAGGAAAGCTTCAGAAGTTTGTTTTCCCCTCAGGCATTAGGCCAGGATGATGCAGTAGATGAACCTGTCTTTGGGAGGTAGATTCTGTGTTGATTGGCCCTGATTATATGCTTTGTTTTTGTTGATTGTGTTGGTTTGAAATGTAATTTGGGGTTTTCATTTGGTTTTATTGAGTTGTGATTACACAAATTGGGTGGCCATATAAATCTAAATAAATAAAATAAATATTTAGAAGAGGAGGATCATAAACCTAGAAGTTAAAATGTAAGAAAAAGAAATGAAATATTCCCAGGTGTGGAAGAAAACAGTTCGTTATCTAAAATTTTGAGTAGCATAGATTCCAATGTATACCTTGAATGATTAAAAGCAAAATAATGAACACTGCCTGAGGAATAGACAGATGCCTATTTACCTCAGAGAGGGTACATGTTCTAACAGCAGATTTATCTAGATAATCTATTTATTTGGCTGGGCTGTCAGGCTAGATCATTATCCATTAGTTAAGCTCTTTACATTGTGCATATCCATCTTGGCATGAATATAATGTTTTTCAACAACCAAATTAATTGCTTGCTTCTTGGATGAAGAAGGAATGGAAAGAAATGAGCAGGAGGAAGAGGAAAAGCCATACTTAGTTAAGGATCATAAGTCAGCGTTATGTGAATATAATTCACATAAAAAGGCATGTGGATTAGATAGCAATAATATACTAGACTAGTAGAAAGTCTAAATATTCTTCTGAAGTATGTTCTTAATTTTGCTCTATAGTTTGAGCACAAAAAAATGCAGTGTTCAGTCAGATTGGCCCCAGCCTTAATATTCTTACATTGATCCTGGATTTCTAACGAAGTTCCAGTAAATATTCCTTGGAGTTTTATCAAGGGCTGTCATAGTTGAAAGATCAATGACAACAGAAATGTCTCACTTACTCACCAATCCACTGAAATTTAATTTATACAGCAGAAGCACTGACTCTATTCTAGATAGTGTTGTTTCGCCCTTAGTACAGTACAACAGCGAAGTCTACTAAATTTAAGCTAGCATGAAAACCCTATTCTGGCAATCTGTGTAACTTTTAAAAAAACTTTTGTTATCGTTAGTCTTCTTTACTTTTACAATACAGAAATAATTTCAAAAAATAACAAAATACCTCATGGCTTAATTTTTTGACCATGGACCTATAGTTACGGGGGATTCAGTGGGTTGCTTAAATTTGTTTTTTTACCAACTGCAGTTCATATTCTGAAAGACTCTCAGTGGTTTCCATAGGTGGCATATTCTGCAGATTCATTAGCCTATATCAGTGATGGCTAACTTTTTCAGCACTAAGTGCCCAAACTGGAAGGTGTGTGCGCTGGAGCGCCAGAAACTGGAAGACCAGCTGGCTGGTGTGCATGCGCACGCCAAAAACCAGAAGAGCAGCTGGTGAAGGTGTGCGTGCCCACAGAGATGGCTCTGTGTGCCACTTCTGGCATGCGTGCCATAGGTTCATCATCACAGGCCTATAGACTTACTAGTAATAATATTACCTGGCATAATTGGGTCAGACCAAAAGCATCTAAATACAATAATAAGCAAAATATATATTCTCAAGTATGAATAAACAGCTGTCTTCATACCTGGCATAAATCCAATCTAGAGATTACAAGACTTTAATGGAAAATACTATCTTAACAAAATGATAGTACTGTATCAAAAGTAAAATTCAGGTGCAAAGAGAAGGAAACAAAAATAATAATAATAATCCAGTTTCTATTTCTACTACTACTTCATACCTGTGTCCAATCCGAGAGGAGCCATTCAGGGGGGCAGTCCTTATTTTTGCAGGCTTGTTGGGAAGCTGGCCGTGAAGCGGAACAAAACGTTTCTGGAAGTTCTAGAAAACTTCCATCCGCCATGCGCTGCTTGCAAAGAACTTCCCGTCTCTCAATGCCACCTCCGCATGTCTGTGAACACTGGAGAACATTTGCAGCAGAAGCTTATGAGCCTGAGAAACATGAGCAGCAATGGGCTGCAACAAACTGACTGGTATCTCATAAAAGTTAATGGGTTGCTTCAAACAGCATGTGGAATAGCAGGCCTTATGACAGAATGTTCTGGGGCAGGTTTTTAATATGTATTCTGGGTTTTATAAAGCCCTTTCTCTTTGACAATAAAACAAAGGCTGAAAAAGATGTAATCATACAAACACTTTTAGGCCACTTTGTGTTAAAGAGATGCTATATCTACTTTCTTTTGGAAAGAAGGCAAAAGGAAAGAGATAAGATAATGGCTGATAACGAAGTTGGCTTTCTAGTTTAAAACAATGTTTCTAATTAAAAGGACAGGCTTGAACAGCCAAAACATTAAACCTGTGGAGCGTTACTAAGAGCCAGTGATCTGTAGTATTTGTGTGTGTGTGTGTGTGTGTGTGTGTGTGTGTGTGTGACAACTGCATCGCAATGTCTGTCCTTTTTCTATGTTTGTTTTGACAGCATGCACCTGCCCAAACGGGTGGAACATGTACAGTAGTGCAATGTTGTTTTCCTCATTCTGTTGAAAGCAGCAAGATATTGTGGATCACACTGACAAAAACTCTTCCTGCCCAAACATTAAAACATTTAGAACTTTTTGACAGACTTTCTCCGAAAGAATTCAAAGGCCTCACTAATATTTCTAGATAAAATGATCAGTAGATAAAAGTGGATGTAAGATAGGAATTTGCTGGATGGGGTTTTTCCTCAAATCAGCAAAAAGAACTGAATAGGGTTTCACCTGAGGTCAGTGGGCAACAAATCAAAGCATAAATGGAATTTATAATTCTAAGATTAGTATCCCTCCCATTTCCAGCCACCAATAGCAGACACAGGTAGGCTTTTTTTCCCCTTGGGAACTGGAATTTACCTGTTGCCATTCTTTTTTTAAAAAAATATAATATTTATTAAGTTTCCAAAAGTTAAAATACACAATACAAAAAAAAGGCACAATATACACACACACACACAAAACCCAAAAAAACCCTAACTATAAAACACACAAAGACAAACGCATCAAAATTATATTACTCATAAGCATAAAACTTAACGGAGATTTTTGTCATGAGACTGAATTCTGAATAGAGGTTAAAATAATTTAAATAAGAATGTTGGTTTATAGAGATACTTAGAAGTAGAATGTCTATATAGAGGTTAAATAGGATAAGAGATACCGATGTAGGAAAAGCTGTTATGAGTACCTGTTGCCATTCTTGAAGATACCAAGATGGAGGACAGTCAAAACGGTTGCAGGCTTGTACCCCTGTAGGCTTGGGTTTGTGACATAGCTTATCCTCCAAAGTCACTGTCTCATTAGTCTCTCTTGAGAGGAGATGAGTGCAGAAGACCTCACGGATTTGCAATCCAACACCACAGGTGAGACTGCAAGAACTCCATTTTCCCATCTCCCACCTGAAAGGAAATCCAAGAAAAAGATTCTGAAGTGAAAGAAAACATATTCCATAATTATGCAAAAAAATAAAAAATAAATTCTGATTTGATTCTGATTCTATACTAGGTTGAATCTAGTTGTATCCTCCATGATTCTTACTTATTAGTAAATCCTGTGGCTGTCACTGGGAACCATGGTAAAGTAACTTACTCTGGATCCAGAATTTAAAATACATCAATATGTCTACTTACCTGGATTTCAAATGTATTTAATTTTACTGTTGTGTTTTATACAGATAGTCCTCGATTTACGACAACAATTGAGCCCAACATTTCTGTTGTTAAATGAGACATTTTTAAAATGATTTTTGCCCCATTTTACGACCTTTCTTGCCTCTGTTGTTAAATGAATCACTGCAGTTGATAAGTTAGTAACCCGGTTGTTAAGTGAATCTGGCTTCCCCATTGACTTTATTTATTTATTTATTTATTTATTGGTTTGATTTATATGCCGCCCTTCTCCGGAGACTCAGAGCGGCTTACAATGCGTTAAGCAATAGCCTTCATACTTTTGTATATACCTGCTTAGTAGGGCTTTCGGTCCCCCCTAAGCGGTGTTCTTTTTACACAAAGTCAGCTTATTGCCCCCACAATCCGGCTCCTCATTTTACCTACCTCGAAAGGATGGAAGGCTGAGTCCAAAGACTTTGTTGGTCAGAAGGTCTCAAAAGGTGATCACATGACCTTGGGACACTGCAACTGTCATAAATAGGAACCAGTTGCCAAGCCACTGAATTTTGATCATGTGACCATGGGGATGCTACAAAGATGGTAACTGAAAAATGGTCATTAAGTCACTAATTTCAGCCCAGACAAGATAATTCCTTCTTGCTTAAAAGCTTGAGCTGACCAACTGGCCCCCATCTTCACCCGCATCTTTAATAAACCACTAGAGATGTGCTATGTTCCTTCTTGCTTCAAACACTCTACTATCATCCCAGTGCCGAAGAAGCCCTCCACCAAGGAACTGAATGACGTCAGACCGGTTGCTCTAAAATCTGTAGTTATTAAAACCTTTGAAAGGCTAGTGCCCACCCTGAAAACCATCACGGATCTGTTATTAGACCCCCTGCAATTTGCCTACTGCGCAAATAGATTGACATGGTTCTTCACTACATCCTACAACATCTTGAATCTCCAAAGACCCATGCAAGAGTCCTCTTTGTAGACTTCAGCTCAGCATTCAATACCATCATTCCAGATATCCTTCTAACTAAACTAAATCAGCTAGCTGTACCTGAACATACTTGTAAGTGGATCATACGCTTCCTAAATGACAGAAAGCAGCAGGTGAAGCTAGGCAAAATCACATCAGATACCTGTACAATTATCACAGCCCCCCACCCCCACCCCCAGGGCTGTGTGCTCTCTCCACTTCTCTTCTCTCTGTATACCAATGACTGCATCTCAAAAGATCCCTCTGTTAAAGTACTGAAGTTTGCAGAAGATACAACATTGATTGGTCTCATTCGAGACAATGACGAATCTGCATACAGGCAGGAGGTTGGACAACTAGCCTTGTGGTGCGACTGGAACAATTTTGAACTAAACACACTCAAAACCGTAGAAATGTGGTAGGTTTTAGGAGAAACCCTCCTATACTACCGCCTCTAGACAACTAGACAACACAGTATCAACAGTAGAGACCGTCAAGTGTCTAGGTTCTATCATATCTCAAGACTTAAAATGGACACCTAACATCAAAAGCGTCATCAAAAAAGCACAATGAAGAATGTTCTTTCTGCGCCAACTCAGAAAGCTCAGACTGCCCAAGGAGTTGCTGATTCAGTTCTACAGAGGAATTATTGAGTCTGTCATCTGTACCTCTATAACTTTCTGGTTTGGCTCTGCAACCAAACAAGACAGACATATTCAACGCATAATTGGAATTGCAGAAAAAAACAACCGTTACCAACCTGCCTTCCATTGAGGACCTGTATACTGCACAAGTCAAAAAGAGGGCTGTGAAAATATCTACATCCTGGATATAAATTGTTTCAACTTCTACCGTCAAAATGACGTTATAGAGCATTGCACACCAGAATAACTAGATACAAGGACAGTTTTTCCCCACATGCCATCGCTCTGCTACTGTAAACAATTAATTCTCACAACACTGTCAAACTATTTACTAAGACTGTATTACTATTATTCTTCTCATCCTTCCTATTACCTATCTCCTCCTACTTATGACTATAACCTTGTTGCTTGTATCTTTACAATTTATATTGTTTTATTTAGTTTCTTAGTATGATTTGATTGCTTATTTAGTATCCTATGACTATCACTAAGTGTTATATCTTATGATTCTTGATGAATGTATTTTTATGTACACTGAGAGCTTATGCACCGAAGACAAATTCCTTGTGTGACCAATCACACTTGGCCAATAAAGAATTCTATTCTATTCTATTCTGTTCTGTTCTGTTCTGTTCTGTTCTGTTCTGTTCTGTTCTGTTCTATTCTATTATTTCAGTGCTGTTGTAACTTTATTTATTTAACAAATTTCAAGATGCCTAACCATATGTGCCCATTCATTTTCAAATTGTAGGATTTTTGAACATTTAGGTTGAATGAGAATGAGCAAAATAAGAAAGAGAACAGATCTTTGGCTATATTATTAATACCCGATTTAATGAATTAATAAACATTATTCCTTTAATGTCATTGAGTCTGTTGAGTAGTCCATGCTTATTTGTTGACTAATAACTCAATACCTTGAAGTCTAACAATGTATTGTTTCTTCTTCCAAAATAAAATATATTTGTAATTATCTTCCATGGTCCTGTCCTCATCATGGTGGAATGTCATTTGGCTTGTTAAAGACATACATTCCAATCTGTCACTTATTTGTTGGAGTGTAGTGCCAATTTTTAAGGACAAGCAGCTATCTAAATAGATTTCAGCTGCTCCAACAGGAAGTTCAAGTTCCTAGGCCAAAACAGAGATGCACAACTTACTCTTGTTTGATGGCTATATTTGGTTTTGAATGGGATGCAATAGGCTAGACTTCAACTGATGGAACAGAGTTAACTATAGTTTGTTTTTTATTTAAAAGTAACTGAAATTAAGTCATATAGTTATGGCTTCAAGTATTTAATTATTTTCCTCTTTTGCCACATTAAGAATGACAATTACATCAGATGGAGAACCTTGTTTTTGCTGTTAAGTCCAAACTTTCTGAAATATTTATTCGATGATATTACTACAAGAAAAAAGTTTATTCTCACTGGCCTGCATCAGAAAATTCTGCATATTCTGTGCAGCATTTTTGGAAATGTTTATAGATTTTCCTATCTCCAGTAGTAGTGATCTACTGAAGCAAAGAGTTATCTCCTACAATTTTGTAAAACATACTAAAATATAACTTGATGATCAAATAGGATTCCAATGATTTGCAAAAAAATCTGGGAAGTGTCTAGAAAATAAAGGAGATACTGTATTAATGGAGAATGCAAATGGATAAAGCAAAAAAGCATTCAAAAAGTTCAAAAAACATTTCATCAATATTATTCCAATTTGTATAAAAAAAGTGACATCTCTCTAGCGAAAACAAAGAAAGAAACAAATTTACTGAGGATTACAGAGTAACAAAGATAGATTAGGAACAGAACAATAAAAAGAAAGTTTCTAAAAATATAAAACTGGTTTATCTGATTATGATTATATAACAAGTTTTTATTTCTGGTGCTGTTTAATGGTTATCTGGATAGGATAGCTTTTCTTTTGGAACTGTCTAAACTGTCTTTTGATATCTGAATAAGGAGTTATGATTTCTGGAGATGTTTAATAGTTTCAATTCTTTTTTTTGGGAATGTTTAATTGTTAAAAGAGGGAGGAGGGGAATTTAGACTAAACGGAAAAGATAATTATATACTTAGGTCATTAGGTATTTTTGTTAATTTTTACTGGATCTTTGCTAATTAATAAGGAGAGCTGAAGATTTAGAAATGAGTTTATAAAAATAGGGCGAGGTATGTAAAGAAGAGATATTTGGTTGTATTGTAAGATGCAGTAATAACTTGTTAATGCTGAATATATTTATTGAGAATGAAGGGAGAAGTTTCTTCTTATATTTTCTTTTTCTTTCTGTTTTTTTGGGGGGAGCTGTACTTTCTAAACATTTTTTTCTTTTCTATGTATTTTTGTACTATGTTTTTGTATTTGTCTTATCTGTTTAATATAGTCCTTAATAAAAATATTATAAAACCTCCCAATAAAGTATGTTTTTAGAGCTATAAAAAAGATTAAACTGGGAAAGGCGCCTGGACCAGATGGATTATCAGGTTCTTATTATAAATATTTTGAGGATGAACTTTTACAGCCGTTACAAAACAAGATGAACTCTATCCTATAGGGAGGAAAAATGCCAGAGAATTGGAAAGAAGCCAGTAAAGCATTAATACCTATAGAAGGACAAGACTTTAACAAGAAACTACAGGCCAATATCATTATTAAATAATGAGTACAAGTTGTTCATAATGAGTCCAGCTGACAGGATGAAAACAATTTTTCAAGAATTTATGCATGAGGATCAATGTGGGTTCTTATGTAAAAGACATTTAAAGTACAATGTTAGAAATATGATGGACGTTTTGGAATATTTGGAGAAACATTTAAAAAAAGCAAGCTTCATGGATCTTTTTGGATGCAGAAATGGCCAATGATTATTTGAACAGGCTTTCTTGTTCAAGATTTTGGAAAATATAAATTTTGGAGAGAATTTTATAGAATATGGTATTTGGTATTAGTTTTTATTTACCCTTTTAAAATATGTGTATGTATATATTTCAATGGGACTTTTAAAAATTGCCTGTTCAGACAACCATAGACGATATGCTCACTGTAGCTAGTCTAATCCAAGATCACTTCTTAAAGTCCAAGATGATCAAAAGAAGAAGAAAAAGTCAACCTCTTCATACAACAAATTAAATAATTTATCACTAATAATTCCTAAAATA